AAGTCACCAGAGGAAGATGATGTAGAGGAGGTTATGTATAAATGAGAAAATAAAAAGGAGCTGGGAAAAGCAGCATTTATAACAACAACTACCATGCCAAGCAGGGGTGCAGCACATAAAATGACTGCTGCTTTACACAACCAGAAACARCCCAGGGGATTCAGCTGCTCCTCTCAGGCTACAGAGAACAAGCACAACTGTGGACTTGAGTGGGGGCTACTTCAAACTTTGAATTAAATTGAAATGAARCAGGTGAATTGACTAAAGCTTGTGCTAATATCAGTTTTTTACTCAGCATACAGCCACCCCCATGACTGCATTAAGAGGCTGCATGACAGGTAAGAAGGAAATGCAGCTGGCAGCAATAGCATGAAGGCACAAGCCAAGAAAAGACAGAGCAYGTTTCATGAATAACTGAGGAGTTGCTCAGTTGTTGACAGGATGTAATAACAAGTAGAAACCACCCGTTGCTGACAGGGCACAGGTACCTGCAAGCAGCAACCACAGGCTCCTGGCAGCAGCAGCAATCAATCAGATTCCATGGGCCTGATCGGTTCTGAGAACCAGCTGTCCAAACACACCCMCACTATTTGCAACAAATGCTGATATAGCAGAGTGAGAAGGAACCTACTTAGAGAGCTAGAAGAATACTCTTACTGAGTATAATGGGCTTGGTCCAGGAGATTGAGAAAAAAAAAAAAACAAACCCAACACGCCTGAGGGAGCATTCCAGTGTCAGCCAAGCAGAATCCACAGTGAAACATTGACTGAAAACGTGGGTAGCAGAGAATAGGATCTGGCAGAGGCAGATTTCCTTAAGGAAAGAATGAAAGAAAAATACCATCAGGGTTGGCACATATTCTGCCTGCCCCTAGGGTGCTTGTCCTGGGACAAAGGGCAAAACTGTCAACTGTCTCCATTGGGCACAAAATTTTAAAGATAGCAGAACAGCTCTGTATTGCTGCCTGCCTAACTCAGGAAGAAGAATGAAATGCCCAGGCAAGAAGAGTGCTGCTGAGTATAAGCAAGTTTTGAGAAGTTAAAACTGAAAAATATGAGGAAAATTTCTGAAAAACCTCAAGTCTGAAATTTTAATTAGTTTTCCCCTGCTCTAAATATGCAGTGTCTTTAGGAAGCCTCATTTACAAAGGTACACCTGCATTCAGTTGCCATACCAGAAGGGAATTCCACATTTGAGACAGTCTGTAGTGCTGCTAATGTACATGGGCTGGATCTTCACCTTGAAGAAAACTCCCTCATTCCCTAGTATTTAAGGGATGAGGATGTGCTCCTATCCTGTAGCATTCTTTTGGCTAATTTAATTACTTAGCTTAATATTTCAAGGTGACTAGGCAGMAAAAACTAGCTTCTGACTCTGGTGTCTGTGACAAAAACTTTGCCTTAGGCAATACAGCAAACCTGTCAGGAATGAAAACTTGTTAAATACTGCAACGAGAATAAAAGTGGATGATCCAGAATGTCTGATGTGCCATCATGACTTGCTCAAGAGTGGGGCCTTTGTGGAAGCATCAAGAACTAACTTCAGGCAGTTTCCAGGAGTGAGGTACCCTACCAGCTCCCCTGGAGTCTGCAGTAGGGCAGGCAGCTTATCYAGCACAGAGCAGCACAGCACAGCCCCGGGTTAATGGGCTGCTCATTTCCAGGGGATAGGGGAAAGTGAACAGGCTGTAGYTACCCTGTGTCCATCTGTGAACAGGTGATGAACCCACATCTCACACCTCTTCACATCAAGGCAGCAGCTGCCTTCTTTCTCACCTTCAGTGAGAACTCCACAGCCACAACTTCCACTGCCAGCCCAGGGTGCAGCAGAGCCAGAGCCTTGAGGAATTCACCTCCCTTCACAAAGCATTGTTTGGGTCCAGCACAATCAAATCTAGCAATGCTGCTGGCCTGGCAGCTRGTGTTCAGTGTCCCACCCCCAGCCTGGGGTTTCCTCTCTGGAGTGACAGTGGCCAAAGGGATACAGACCCCAGAGTGACTTCATTCTGCACTGTCAAGGCTGCTCGTGGAGATTCGACATTGCCAGGTCTCTCTTGGATTTAATTTCCTACTGCTTTTCCTGCAGCTTGGTGGCAAAACTCTCAGCCAACACTGGCACCTGCCAACTCCCACAACAGGGACKCTCCTGAGAGCTGGCACACACAGCATATACATTTCTCAGCATTGACACAGAAACCTGACCCCCAGATCAGCCTAAAGCACCATGTACTTGCTTGCTTCCTTAAACACCCCTTAATGTTAATGGATTCTATTCTTCCCTAAGGAGTTCTCTATTGCCACTCCATGCTGACCTCTCAGCTTTATTTTCCTTCACCACCTCACAGCCTTCCTCCCCACCATGGCTTTCTGACCAAAATCCCCCTCTCCAGCGTCACACCAGTGATCACACAACACTTGACTTGCTAGGGCTGAATAACTACAACCTGCTACCAGAATAATTCCTGCACTATGARAGGATTTTTATGAGCTTGCTCCACTTATGGCTGCAAGAAAAACTGCTGCCAGCTGAGGATTACTTACCTGTAGAGAGCTGGCAGAGATCCAGGCCCTTTGTCCCCTCAGYACAGAGGGATCAAGCACACTGCATCTCCTGATAGCGATGGTGATTCTTGTGCAGTCAAGATAAAGCTGCTAAAGCAGACAGTCATCCCCCCGACCACACCCCCCCACTCTCCTGAGTAAATCAGACACTGAATGTTCTGGTGCTGCCAGCACAAATATGATGTTAATTCAAAGGCAAAGCCTGCTCAGCCCTTTGTGGGTGTCWGGGGTAAATGAGAGCAGCTGCCTGCTCCTGCTCCATGATTTCCATTTCAGTTCAGCTGCAGGACTCGAGCAGCCATCAAAACCTGCAGAATTCTGCATCAGTCCCTCCCCCTTACAATGGGAAATACCAGCTTTATCCTAATGAGCCAGAGGGGCACATGGGGTTGCTTCTTTTTTAAAATCTTGCTTGCTGTGGACCACACACCACACTTAGCTTGGCCTGTTAACAGCAACCTGGCTCTGCCTTTTGCTCTCTGGAACAGACACACATGAGCCTGAACTCCTGCAAAACACAATCACTTATTTGTGACTGTCTATTTCAACAGCTACAGTCATGCCTGCTGTATGCCATCTCCTTGTCTTTTGAAGGGGATGGGACACATTTGTTTCTTCTACCAAAAGCAGTAAGGGTGAGTTTCAACCCAAGGGGACCAAGGCAAGTCTTTTTGAGGGCATATGAAATTTAAGTTTTTGTTGAAGCTATCAGTCAGGTGTACTAAGCTTTCCAGCTCTGTTTCACTTGCTGGCCAGACCTCAGCYGTCAATGAAGTCTACACTGATCTAATCCATTTCTGCTCTTATGTGTGCAAAAATATTCACAATCACCATTTTATAACTAGGCTATGCCAACCACTTACATGCCTGTTAGTGATAAAGTAGATAAGCACATAAGAAATAGATAGGAATAATAGTACTGTTAAAAATATTAAAGGTTAATAAAAAAATTTAGCCACATCATGTGTAAACATAAATMCCAAAGACTTATTCAAGACTATTCAAAAAATTGAAAAAACTAATTAATGTATAATTACCATACTTTTTCTTAGACAATATAAAAATAGAAATTTTAGATTCTAGGAAGAAATACATATTTTTAGATAAGTAAACATTCTCAATGATACAAACAAGTGAAAGCTGCACTCCTTACCTCTTCCAAAAAGCMATTCAAATGAAATTCTGGTTAGTTGTAGCTAGCAAAAAGACCCTACTCTGAGCTGACCAAAAGAAGTGCTGARCAGCACCAGGCAGCTGTAGCCTGCAGGAGCAATAAATAGTCATCYTTACAAAAACCCACATGGCCCCAGTGTAAAAGGCCCTTCTGTGGCACAGGTAACTCATTCAGCCACATCAGCACCAGCTGAAGCCGTGCCCCAGAAGCTACAAAGCCACTGTATTTGTGTCACTGCTAAGTAAGGACCCAGGGCACATTATTTCAGCAACAGTCATATTGGCTTTATTACACTCTTTGAGACTAAAGTTTACTGTTGGAAGGTCAATAGTTCTGGTACACAGAAAAATTACAGTTTGCATTATATACACACTATTAAGTCGATTTTCATCACAGTTTAAACAAACAAAAAACCTGAACAGCTTGCTTATTAGATGTGTCAAAACATTTGTTCTGGGCAATTCACAGGGAGTCAGACACCTTAATAAAGAAATSCACATGAGAAGAGTCAAATATTGTTCCTGATAAATGAGCTGAACATCAGTGAAGAATGAGTAATATTCAGACATCCCTCCTTACATCCTTTCATACACTGTTCAAGGGCTTCAAAAGACATGCACAGAAGCCTAGGCAGTACCAGAATATGACTTTGACATTACAGTACTYGTGTTTTGGGCCATACTTTATTTTTCCCCCCACCTCCTTCAAGTGTTTAAATCATCTATTGCACACATATACAAACTCTCATATTAGTAAGACTAGCAGGTATGAACTCATTCAGTAAATCTCCCTGTTCAGAGACTGTCCCAAGCCATCGAACAATAACAATATATTAAAGAGAGAAGTAATGTCCTTCCAGACAGGCCCAGCAGCAGATTTGATACAATGACCTGACTGGATTATCTGGAAATCTACATRCCTTGGCTGCAGCATTGACAAAACTACGAATTCTACTCAGGTGGCTTTTGCAAGGTACTAGTGATAGGAAGAAACTGAACTGCATTTTCCCATGGCCTGGGTGAAATTACTTTCCATTTTTCAGACAAAGTTGTCAGAACGAAAGATGATGCAGTAATAACCCAGATGCATTTGCTTTTCACCCACCCCTTTGACAAAGCTAATTTAAGAACCAGAAAGGGTCAGCATCCAGATAACCTCCTAATTTCACTCTTCARAAACTGTAATATAATGCTGCACAACCTTGAAAGACATAATACATTTTGTGATAATTAAACACTTCAGTTGGAGTACCCAAGACCTTATGTCAAACCATAGCACAAAATAGAAGTTTGTAGGAATTATCAGTTATTATTGAAATGAATCCTAATGGCTCCATGCTCTTGATAGTGTGATGTGAAAGTGGAAGCACTTCAAAATATCAACTGGTTTTTACACTCTTTCAGCTGGACTTTCAGAAATTCTGTTCCATTGGTTATGCAAGTTGGTGTCCTTGTACAAAAGCCAAACATTTCCTGCCCATAAAATCATATTAAGTAAGCCAAACACCTGCATAGTAAAGAAAAAAAGGGGTGGGGAAGATAATATTAAATTAGTTGTGCTTGACTGTGGGGTTTGTTTTTTTTTTTTTTTTTTAAATTTTAAAACAAGCCAGAATATGCCTTCAAGGCAAACCAGAAACAACTATCTTTAGCACCCTTTGATATGGACAAGACATTTTCACACTCTTCAGAGTATTTTAAGCTATTTTAAGAGYGTTCTTTGTAGACCAGAGAGTCAAACTTACTCTATTCTTTGCAAAGAATTAAACAAATTCTTCTCAGTTGCCAAGAACTTCTGCATATGCCCACTCAGTCCATATGACTAATTATTATTGGGCTAATGGATAACAGCCTGAGTTTTGAAAAGGATTCTCTAGGAAGTTCATACAATAAGCCTAATTTGCTCTGTTATGAAAGGTTCCTTGCATGAACATGAGCTTCATGCCATTGTGGTACAAGGAACCTCAACCTGATGTGTAGAAACGCTCACAGTAGAGTAAAAATCTAAGTTCAGCACCAGCCCAGCATTTCCTCCTAACTCATATCAGTCACCAAACCACTTGGGTGGCTCAGTAAGATATTTTAGGTGGCTCTTGGCTGCAGGCTTAAATGGACATTCAAATGTGTCTGGAAATGCTGCATATAACAGCTCTAGAGGTAGATCCTAGAAATTGTTTCTCTTTACTTTCTTTAGAGGAAAACTTGTTTCCTCAAACAAATTATTTGCTCAGTGTTTTACCACAGTATTAATGGACCTATAGCCCATAAAGAAATCTTAACACAAAGCAACAGAYGTAATCAGTAGAACAGGACTCTCAGGTACCACTTGTTTTCCAACAGATTCATTGYTCCTATATGGTGGGAGGCATACATACCACAGACACATTCAGAATTCCCATGCTAGTCACAGAAAGAAAATGACAAGTTGTTCCTGGTGCTTTGCAAGATTCAATTCCTGGAATAATCCTGGGTCCTGTGGACACCTTGATGTCAGCAAGTGCCTTTGCCCACACAAAAGTACTGACCAGCCACAGAAAGGCAGTCAAGACACTGATAACCAAGTCCTACACAAGAGAAATACTCATYAGTAGGTTAAAAAAATGCAGAAATATACCTAAGAGCAAGGCAGAGCCAGTGTCAATTGTATCACCAATGTAACTACACCAGTGCTAATGGTCACAAGCAAATTTAGTCAATTATAATATCATAATTACAACTCAGTGTTGATAACCACCTACAAAACTATATGCTTGTGCTTGATAGATGCAAAAGAAATCTTAACCTTAGTAAGAAATCTGTTTCTAATATCAGATGCCTAACACTTATTTTAAGAGAGAATTTAAGCCCAARTTTAGTAAATTAAGGGTGATGGGAAAAGGGCAGAGATTTAAATATGGATGGCTGATATACTAAAATTTGGTTTGAAAGGTCACTGAGCCCATTTTCAAGTATGTTATGAAATTTCTCATTCAGAGCTTCAATATTGAAGATGACTAAGATCCAAAAGATAATTATTTCTCTCTGCCAGTTGCAGCAGGTGCTCTGCACAGGGAAAATTCTCAGATTAACAGAGGAGGTTCCACTTATGGAGGAATTGTACACTCAAAAGAAAAGTTGTGGTGAAGATACTGTTCACCTGAGAAGGTGAAAGCTCATTCCACTCTGCTTCAATAACTGCATAAGGTGTGATGCCATGGATGGCCAAGGGCTTTGGGTCCCTTTTTCTGCTCGAGTGCTGTAGTGACCAGCCCGAGATACTTGTGTTCACACTCCATTTAACTTTTGTAACTGCTGGATAGCCACCAGTTATCCTTGCATTGGCAATATTTCTTATCTCTTTGTAGTTTCAACGTCAAAATATTAAAATATTTTAATATTACTTACAGTTATTGGAAACCTGTTATTTTGCTGATACATGTGATTATATCCAATGTATACCACAAGGGCAGCAATGCAGTAGAGGAACACCAACGCTGCCAGTGCAACAAAGAGCTGTGCAGAAGAGGAGAAGTTGCCCACGAGATGGGCATCATTCCAAGTACCACCACAGGCTTTTGGRTCTGGTGCACTAAACACAGCAGTATTCAACCTGTGAAGGTTATAGCCATGTAGTTAGAGCTTGCTACGCAGCAGAAACTTCATGCAATTATGCTGCACAGTAACAATGCTTCAGCATTCTGTTTGTATAAATTTACTCTAAAAGATACACTATACATATATAAATAGCCTGAAAAACTTTGTTTTGCATAACTGATGATCTGAATATTGTTCCCAGTCCTACGCTGAGATATGCAATAGTACTTTCAGGAGAAAAATCATCATCTCATTTTTAAARCAGTTGAAAAAAAMCCCAGGTTGGAGGCAGACTTAACAGCACTGTTTTACAGACTGGCAGTTAAACAAGGTGGTCAGAACTCAAAATTGCAGCTACAAAAAAGTGTAAGCACTGAAGCTAAATGAATAAAGCCTGTGTGACCAGCACAGAATTATTTCAGAATCCCACTCTTCTCTCCAATGCTGTTATAATGCTGGGGTTGGTGACCAAGTTCTGTGGTGGCAGTGGTTTTTACTGGCTGGCCACTGAATCCATTTCTGTATTTATTTATGTTCTTATGTGCATTGAACACAAGTGGCACACCAACCCTGCACTTGCCATAGTGCGGCTGCAAGAGCAGAGAGGAAGCCTTCCTCCTCCCCTCCAGGAAACGAGTTTGTCTCTACAAGAGCACTGCAATGACACTGGAGTATTTAGTTATTTGTGCCCAACACCCTCAGCAAGATAACAGTGGAATAAATTGAAAATTATTTTCCATTCAGTCTTTGAACAAAAATAGGATAATGGCATATTCAAAATAATCTTATCTGGGCCTCCAAAGCAGCTACAAATTGATGAAGAATTAGGCTGTTAAAACTGATTGTGTTGTTGTGCTTATTAATTAATTTCTATAGCATTAAGGCACTGCCAGACTAGAGCTTAAGGTAGAGTAATACAAAGCATAACACAGCAAATTGCCATTTCTAGATTCCTATGTCTTTTTACAGGGCACTAACAACTACAATTCTTTGAACAATTGCAGCCAAATACTTATTTATTGATTAATGCTACAGAGCAAGCCGGAAGTTTCACATCTCCATTATAGAGCAACTACATATTTATGTGGAGACAGATAGGGAAAAAGGAATAATAAAATACTATAAAATAAYAAATGAAGAGCTAATGCTCACCTGAAGGGATAAGCAAACGCAGCTGTAATTGTTTTGTTTACCACACCTTTGCAGGAGACTAGAATGGTAGTTTCACCTTGAAAGCCTCCACATGTGGTAAGAGTAAAGATGACAAGAATCTATAGGAATTGTTACATAGAYRCRTTAGTGCACACCACTAGAGCTCAAAGGAAGCAAACTTAASATTTAGCTGAAATAGCTAAAGAASACAAGAAATAGCAGCACAATTAGCAAAGCTGAAGTATGAAGCGATGTCAAGAAGAAAATGCAGAATTTCTAAAACCCAAAGGCATGACCAACACTGCTAACGAGAGCCCATTTTAAAGTGCTTTCTGTTTCTTTTATTTTCAGTTGAAGACAAATTTTTGGGGTGTTTATATTTTGTTAGCTTTTTAAAAATGCTAACAGCCAGACTATTATTTCTTGTAGTTCATAAAGTAAATATCTTTACAAGCCTCACATTCCACAACTGTAAATTCAAGTAACTAGACAGCCACAACACACCAGCTTGACTCACCAAATAGCTTCTATTTTTCTTTTTTTCCCCATGAGCCAGACCTTAAAACCCCCATCATCAGAGCACACAATACACAGCAGCAAACTGCACTAACACATTTATCATTAACACATCAAGCTTATGTATCTGTGGCCCAAGGGCTTGGCTGAGGAGCAGTCTGGTCCTGGACACCCCACAGCAGTGACCCAGGGCAGGGTCTGCCAGCCCAGCAGAGAGCTCACCCCACTCCAGGGGTGTCCAGCCCAGGCACAGGAGCACAGCCAGGCATGGGGCAGCAGAGGGAAACAGCCCCATAGGAGGATGGGGTATCCCCCTGTGCCACTCAGGTCCACGCACCCATTCGAGGATCTTAACAAAGCCCACAGACTCCAGGAGCACGCTGAAGTCCACCCTCAAGCCAGCCATCATGGGAGAGATGAAGGCAGTCAGCAGGACCCAGGAGCAGCACCAGGCACCAACTGCAGCATCCCCAGCACCTCCTTTTAGGGGCACCCCGGGCACGCCCCTCACCTGGACATGGGATGGACCCTCCCCCAGTGCTCAGCTGGGGCTCCTCAGCCCCAGGCCTGGTGTGTGGGCTGGGGGAGTGATGAGGTGACTGTCACAAGGGGAACAGCACTGGCCATTTTGTGAAGAGAGGCAGCAGGGATTTCTTCCTCTCCCCCTTCTCCAGCCCCTTCCTCTTCCTCTCTCCCCACCCAGCACACTTTGGACAGTCATTTGTGCCATACCTTGAGCTTGATCTGATGTCAAACAGGGCACAGACACTTGACAATCCATGTGCTTGCCAAAATCTCATCAACTACGTTTGGCATTTTAAGTTTTAATTGGTTTTTGTGACTGCACTTGGTTGCCGATATGTTACCCATCAGTAAAAGTGAAGAGCTAAAACTCATGCTGAAGAAGGTTTGAGGAGGGGCTGCAGTTTTCCCTCTTCCCTGGCCACARACCATGGATAGCCAAGGTGGCCACAGGCACAGCACTCATTGTGGCAGTTTCCTGGCTCTGATTCAAGGTCCTGTAGGATCTCCTTCAGGGATTGCTGGGGCCTCCAGGGAACCTCTGAGGAACATCAGGGTGTGTGATGCTGCTCTTGGAAGGGGTGGCCACGGGAGGCWGTGGCAGCTCCTGGCAGGATCAGCCTGATCTGGCAGCTCACAGCAAGGTCTGCCAGCAGATCCTGCCCAAAGGCACCGGGTCCAGCTGAGCCCATCACTGCTGCCAGGCAGCCTTGGGGAAAGTGCTGAGGAGATGCCAGTGGGAGAGCGGCTTTGAGTGCAGCTCCTGGGACAGTTAGAGGGTGTAAGAGCTGCTGAGATCCTGGGGGCAGTTAGAGGGGGCAGGAGCTGCTGAGATCCTGGGACAGTTAGAGGGTGCAGGAGCTGCTGAGATCCTGGGGGCAGTTAGAGGGTGCAGGAGCTGCTGAGATCCTGGGGCAGTTAGAGGGGGCAGGAACTCCTGAGATCCTGGGGGCAGTTAGAGGGGGCAGGAGCTGCTGAGATCCTGGGGGTTGTCAGAGGGTGCAGGAGCTGCTGAGATCCTGGGTGCAGTTAGGGGTGCAGGAGCTGCTGGGATCCTGGAGCAGTTAGAGGGTGCAACAGCCTGTGCCAAAGGGGGGTCAGCAGCAAAGGCAGTGTTCAGCTGGCCTGGGGCAGCACCACTGCAAACTGCCTGAGCAGCAACAGGGTCTGCCATTCTCACRCAGTTCAAGGAGAATTTTTGACCCTAGCTTTCTGTGCAGTGACCAAGAGAGGTGGTGACATCTGTGCCTGCTGCCACAGATCCTGGAGGAAGTCCAAGTTAAAGCTGTGGAAAGGATGGCTCTTTCCTTGTTTTCACTGCTTGGTTAAATAGTACCAAGATCTCACAGAAAAACCACTATGATCCAGACTAGCAGCGCTGGGGGTTCAGGCCACCTTGGTTTGCTTCACTGCCTGGATAGCCAGTGCCTTTAAGGAGTAAAATTAAAATATAAAACCAGGGGCAGAACAAGGTAAAATATGCATTTGCTCATCTTCTCCACATCCTCCACAGCAAAGAAAATTTGTTCCGTATATAAGTGACATATAAAATCTTAGTTCCGCCTAAATGAACCAAGCAACTCCCTGTCCTCCCATCCAATATGCTTCTGAACCTTTTCTCTGTCTTCCTTCTTCCATATTCTACTTAAAGCCTATGAGCAGTGTATCTCCCTAAAAATACAAATAGACGTTTGTTTGATTACTCTCCTTTTCCACTTGTCAGTTAGTTAAAAACTAATTATCTAAAGCACTTTTCCAAAATGCTCTCAGTCCTGATTTGTATGTGCTTTCTTCCTGAAGCCTTTTCAGATGTCAGATGTCCAGTATGGATGTACTCTGAATTATGTACAGTGTTCTAGCTGTGGGCTCATTAACTCAAAATTGGAAAAGGTTCTTTATATTTCACTCCATGTAACTTATCTCCCAACTGAGGTTAAAAATATTTTTGATAGCAGACATTCAAAATATAGGTGGTCCTTCCAAATGGCCAATTTCATGATCTGAAACCAATTTTGGATCAAACCTCCACAAGGAAGAGTTTAAACAGAAAACTATATATATTTGTTAGGAGCACTGAAAAAGTCCACCACAAAAGAAAACTAACTTATTTTGATTGGAAAATCAGATATTGGCTTAGAGAAAAAGTGACAGAGGTATAGAAAACACAGATCAAATATGAGAAAGTAAAAGCTGGTAATAACATAAATTAGAAGATAGCCTATTGAAGGAAAATTATAAGGAAGAAAATGTGCCACACGACCAGAATGTGGTTTACAGGCTTGTGGACAACAGTGATTCATTTTTGAAACAGAGGAGGGAGAGAAGAGCTTATACCAATGTAAACAGAGAGAATTGATGGAATTAACAAAAAAAAAAAAAAAAAAAAAA